GGGGGGCTGCTATAGTCCCATTTTTCAAACAAGGCTCCCTGGGGAGGGATATGAATAATAACGACAGTAGCTGTGCAGCATGTAAAAATCAAACAAATATCACACTCTCGTTTCTCTGGCTTTTGTATAGCTCTTACCTTGTCTCTGCTTTTTTCTTTATTTCAGCATTTCTGTCAGCGTATTTCTCTCAGACTGAAGGGTACCTAATATAAAGCTCTATTTTCATGAGCACATTTGTGTAGGTGGGAACAAATGGCACTGTCCTTGTAGCCTTATGATTCTGGTGTGTGTAAATTGTGCAGTGTGTGTGTGTGTGTGTGTGTGTGCAGCTGTCATATCAGAATAAGAATGTGTGTAATGTCAGATCTGGGGGGGTGTCAACGATTACATGGTGGCGACAGCTGTTAATCCATCAGACAGGCTTGCAGGAATGAACACCTGTGATCGCCGCACAGCCAGAGAACATGTTAGAAAACCACAGAACATGCACACACACACACACACACACACACACATACATGGCCTAGAAGAGTTCAATAAGTAGATATGTTTTCTCAAAGCAAACATGTTGGCATGTTGTGGTATTAAAAGCACAGGTGTAAATAATAACATGGATGATAGCTGACATCAACTGAGCTGCCTCAGTGTCAGGGTCCTGTATTGTGTGTGCTGACTCACTGTCACTGTCATGGCTTACTGGAACACTTGAATAGAAAGAATAGAAAAGAGTCATTGATTATTCTATTAGTAACTCCTTTTCTTTTCCTACTGCTGCAAGTAAAAATAAATAAATTAGCAAATGAAAGATGCAAAACCATAGAAGACACTTTTTGTGACTTAAAGTTTATTGAATTTCAATTTTTTCAATTACCTCAAAACCACCTCAAAAGACAAAAAAACAACACAGACAGGACTCATACTAATAGATAGAATAGATGCAAATAAACCATGATAATAAAAAACATAAACTGAGGTGAATCAAAATAACAGTATTAACATGACTTGCAAGTAACCTTGTCAGATTCCAACCATACCACTGTTAAATGTCCACTCACAGTCCATAAAAGTTAAGTGTCAAAATACTGTCCATGTAATTGTATCCATATAAATATTTCCTTTGGCTGCACCATCACCACATTCACCCTCCTGCATTCATTACAGTCCCAACAAGAGCTGTACGCACTACCAACAAAACCTCTCTGTATGTTTACAACTACACATAGCAAATAAAGGACACCTATTGATATTAAATGGTTACTATGAAAACAAATCTGCTTTTTTGATCTCAAGGGACCATCAGAGGTTATAGATCAGCTGATGTAAAACATTAAAGGGAGGTGAGAATCTTGAATCCTTAACTAAAAAAGACATTTTGACTCCACGTTAAAGGAATACTTCACCCCAAAAATCACCATTTGTATATCAGTTATTTGTAATGTTGAATTTGAAAAGAAAACTACATCAAAACATCTGTTTATGGGGAACTGAACTAACACTTGAAAGCACCCAATGTCACGCAATGACACAAACCAGCAGCTTCCGTGTTCAGTGAGGTAAAATTACTGTTTTTGTCAATGGAGTCTGGCTTTGAAGAGAGCATCGATGAGTTTTCCTTTCAGTTCAGTTCCAATCCGGTCTCACTGGGAAGTTGTCGAAATCCGACACTTGGCCAGTGACTTGCAGCGTCAGACACTGAAGAAAAAAGCTGTCCCTTAACATCAGCATGATACACAGCCAGTCGGCATTAAAGTTTAACGGCACTCGGCAGTGGCAGTGAGAAACACAGCGGGACAAGAACAAAAGTTAAGGCGACAAAAGTCCCAGTAGGGCGGACGGGATGTATGGTGGATGGGTCCAACAAACAGCGACTTTCACCCGGGAGAGCGGTGTTTGTGTCCTGTAAGATTATACAGCCAAACCCTGTTCTTTTTTCCTAAACCCAACCACGTGCGTTAGTTGTTGGAGGGAAAAAAAAACATCACTTCGAGGTGTTGTACTGACGTAGTGTGTTTATTTTGAAAGAGACTGTATACAAATGGTAAATTTCCCAGAGCATCAACAACCAACACACCCAGGGTACCTTTCACATTGTATCTGGATGTGGAAGGTCCACAACCAACCGTCCATATGTGACGAGGTCGGAGTGAGAATGTGTTGCCAGTTCTCCTTTGGAAAAGTCTGTCTGTTTGGGAAGTACTGAGCATGGGACTGGATAAGTGAGACTTATTTGTTTATACTGCGTGAGCTGTGTGAGAGTTCGTAAACAGATGTTTTGATATAGTTTTGCTGTCATTAAACATGGACCCCTATGGCTTCAATTCATCAAGAATCTTTGGATTCTTTGTTCACAGCAGGCATGCGAGAAAAATACAGTTTTCCTCATAACGTCAGTGTAACACAGGGTGAGTAACTGATATACAAATGATCATGTGGAGGTTGAATTTTTCCTTTAAAAGAGGTGCAGTTAGTTGGGGGACTTGTATGTGACAGATTTGTTGCTTATCTATTTGTTGTTGTAAGTAAGATTTGAAACCAAGTACCCAGAGGCTCTTACATGGGATGCACACTTAAAGTCTTATCATGGTTGTCTCTACCTCCAGTTGCTCTTTCTCACAAAACGCAATCCTCCAGGCCGCTCGCATGCACAGAGGCAGGCAGAATCAGCCAGCTGTGCACACACGCTCAGTGTCACAAGTGAGGGACGGGACACGCATGTCAGACTAAAAGGCCGCCACCGCCCTTCTCACTTATCCCCTATCCCAGACACACTAATCCCAGCAGTTGTGGTGGGCAGGCGTGGAGGAGATAGATTGGAGGTCAGTGTGAGCAGGTGTGCGCATGCCGTCAGGCCTCGCCAGAAGACTGCAATCAGAGAGGGAGTGGAGACAAAGCAGCTGCTGTTTTGGGGGATTTGGGGAGAGGGGGATATGGAAGGGAGGAATTTGGAAGAGATTGCTTATCCACTCCTGCCACCTATCTGTTATGATAGGATGGCATTGAGAGGCTGGTTGCAGAGATCAATAACTACAGTATGGGTCCTTTATTTAAAGGGACAGTTCACCCTAAAATAAAATAAAAAAAATGTCTATTTTTCCTCTTACCTGCAGTGCGATCTTTTAATCTAGATTGCTTTAGTGTGAGTTGCCAAATGTTGGAAAAATCAGCCGTAGAGATGTCTGTTCTCTCAAATATAATGGACTTAGATGGCACTCTGCTTGTGGTGCTCAAAGTGACAGCAAAAGTATATATACACATCTGAAAAACTCAACAGCAATGTCTCTTACCAGAAATCATGACCCGGTTACTCAAGATAATCCACAGACCTTGTTGTGAGCAGTTTCAATAATGTTTACATCTCATGCTATCATCAACCCTGTTTCCACCAAACACTTTCGGTATGGTACCTTTGGAACCAACAGTAACCCTTCAGACATGGTACCTAGACCCTAGTGTTTCCACTGCAAACAGTACTCTTGAATGTGAGCGGGGTTGTTGTCACTCACTGCTCCGTCCACCACTCAATGTATTTCCTCATTATCGGTGACACGGATGGAAGTCTGCACCTCGTTCATCGTCTATGAACGGAGCTGCACGCCAACATTTTCAGAACAAAATAAAACAGGCTGCAGTGAGAGTCTCTCTCCATGGGATACTTAAAAATAGCGGGTTTATGCATTTAATCCTTCTACGGCAAGCTCAGGGGTTTAGTGTTGCTGTAGCCCATAGGAACGACGCTCCGCAATGCTGTTTTTTTCTCCAAGTGAGGTTTATAATATATGCAGCTCACATAACCCAGTCGAAATTAAAGCCCCTACAAGGAACTTTCATTTTGAGTTGATTTTGGCGACCCTGTGGACAAAAGCGGTAGTGTTTTGCCGAAATGAAGCCTACATTTCCCATGAGCTCTAGCGCGTTTTGTCGTAAAGACGCTTACTGGCTCGCGCATGTGTTTGTTTTGGGGATGAATGAAACAACAAGACGGGAAAACTTTGCCCCCGCTCCTATCGGGGATCCCAGCTCACCTCTGCCGCGCCCCAGCTCCACCTCT